CTCGCAAGTCTTGGCAAGAGAAAGGGTTCAGGTTTACGTTTTGGACACGAGCTTACAACTTATCTACAACTTAGGTTTACAAAGTTCCTTCCTTCCTATTCCGTGGAAATTCGAAGCGCGGGATTACCCTTCCTTCTTCCATATTTTTTTTCATCGCTCAAGATTCGACGACAACTTTTTTTTATACCAAAATACCGTTCCCAATATATATATATAGAACAGCGGGAGCAAGTGCATCCTTCATTCTATAGTTTCCAAATGTTGGAGTTGCGATGCCCAAGTTTCTCAGAAGCGACGAACCAAGATCTTTCCCTCTCTCGGCATCTGTCGGATCCCAAAGTCGAATTGATCGGTGTTGTCGGGCTTGTTGCGAGAGAACTGGGTTACCGTTGAGTTGTCTACCCGCTCGAGGACGACAAAAATGCTTCCTAGATATAGTCTCTACAGCAGGGGAGTGATTCTTCCATCGAACTTTCTTTTCTTTTTTTTTTATATACGTCGTTATAAAATGGGGCGCACGATCGAAAATTACGTATTCGGCGTTAATTACGAGTTGGACACTCGCGTTTTCAGATATACGTGGAAAGTTGGATACAATGGGAAGGAAGGGAAAAGGACGAGGAAGAGGTGGAAAATCGAGAACGTTTCTGGGTGAGTGACCCGTTCTCATTTGACATTCAATGGATAACGTCGGCTATAAAGGCTCGGAATGTCGTGTACTCGACCGGCGTAAATTATACCGAGCCACGGAATTCGTTGTAATTTCTCTCTACGTGACAATTAGACGCATTCTCGATGAAACATCGACCGACTCGACGGATTGCGATGAATTTCTCCATTCGCTTGTTAGGGGGAACGATGTGTGCTCGACGAAATTCGCGAGAGAAAGAATCGAAAGAAATATTCGAAACGATCGAGACGATACAAGGGGAATTATATTCGATCGATGAAGCGTATATTATTTGACGAAAATTTGTTCGATCCTTTCGATCCTTCCTTCTCCGGCTCCACTCCGAGTAATTAAGATTATCGCGAAAAATCTGATAATTAATGCCTCGAGATTGAACGTTTTCGTTTCCGTGAAAACTACGAAATTCTAATTAAAACGGAAAGTCCTCGAGATTCCTTCCTCCTCGTCGCTTTGTATCGCGGATCGGTTTTCCTGGAATCGGGTTCGCTTAAAAAAAAAAAGTACCCCTTCGAGGTTTAACGTTCCTCGAGTATCTCGTTCGAGTATATAAGGAGATTGGGCGACAAAGCGAGGCGATACAGATTTTAAGGTAAGATTCGTTTTAAAAGGTACGAGAATCCGTTGATACCGTTGGAATAGAATAATTCCAAGATTTCTTTCGATTATTAATTACTTTTTTTTTCCATTCGACGATAAATTTTTATTTTCTACAAGAAAAAATGGAAAAATCGAATTATTTTTACAAATCGAAATAAAAATTGGACGTTTTGCAACCAGGAATTATACAAGACGGGCTTTTATCAATGGATTCCTTTTACAATCCATTTCCAGCTTTCTACGAAAGGCCTCGTTTGCTCGTAAAAATTGCAAAGCATCGAAGCGCAAATACCAAATTCCCATTAACAATTTCACTCTTTTCATCTATTTTTAACAAAACTTTAATTCCAAAATTATTTCTCTCTCTCGTAAACTCTTTGATCTGTCAAGAAACGGAAAGAGAGAAATATATTAGAAAATTTTCAAACTCGCGTAATATAATAAATCTTTTGATACTTTTAATCGTCCTTCTTTTTTAGATCGAAATATCGCGCTGTAAGTATGAATTTTTTTCGAAAATATTTTTTCGTCCCAAGGATAGAATCGAATTAAAAATGGATTAAAAAGCTTTTAACAAGCAACTCCATCGAAACACCTTTCCTTCTTAATAACGCAACTGTTTTATCGCCCTTTTTCTTTCGTCCGTTTCGATCGATCGACGCGGACGAACGTATGTACAGATCGGAGAAGGGAAAAATTTTTCCCTCGGGCCAAGAATCATTAGGTTGAAACGCGAATTGACCTTGCGAGCTTTGCGATAAAATTCGAAAAAAACCGTTCCTTCTCGAGAGGATCTCGAGAGAGCGGCGTTGGCGATCGATCTTCGTCGTAAGTAACCAACAATGGCGGAGTCATTTCCGTTTTTGCGGTAATTATACGTGCCCCGACCGCATTTGCTTTTAATTTCACTCGCGTGTCATTACCGTACGTCTTTGCGTTCTCGTGACTACACCTTCCTTCGATTGATCCATTTTCTTTTTTTTTTTTTTTTTTTTTTTTT